CTGCTCGGGCCCTAATTAATGTTTTCAATTTGACTTTTTTAAACTGGGGGTTTGCATTTTTCAGGGGTGGCAGCTAACACCTCAGCTGCCCCCCTTCTAGATCTGCCCCTGATAGACACTGAAATTACATTTGTGTTATTCAGTAGCTCTTGGCCATAATACTGTATAGCAGTGGTTCATGGGGGGTTGTAAGGCCTTCTTGATTTTAAGGGGTGGAAGACAAATTTAAAATAATTTAAGCCTATGACTTAGTATTTCATTCTTTCTGTGAAGAACTAAAATAAATGGTTACTTTTTAATGTTTAGATTATTATTTAGGATGTAAATTTAAATCTCATTGGTTAAGACCTGAACACAAGCTATTGTCACAGAGCCTTCACTCTGTGATAAACAGCCTCATCCTGCATGAAACAACACAGCACAGCAAAAATTATAACCTGCTACATGTCAACATGTCAACATTGTCATTATGTGCACATTAGCATACGGCCGCTATCAATTTTACATTTACTTCACCATGACAATTGGGGATCAGAAACTTGCTGTGGACCGAAAAAATTTAGTTTTCTTTACAATGAGCATTATAGCTTCACAGAGCAAACTTATTATTGCTTCAAAATCTCAAGCAAGTCTTTTAAATGGATCTTTTCAAATTAAAATGAAATGCTGCATTGTCACTGACACAAGTGAAAGTGGTGACAAGTTGGTGACAGCAACTTCAAGTTTTCATTGTCCTTGCTGCACCTCATTCACATATTATGAATCACATTTTGGTGGTATTCATGGATCCCAGATTTAGATATGAAGTGTGTGTATAAGGAATTAAGTTTAGGAGTTGCATTTGGTGTTTGAAACTTTCATTAAATATTTGAAGAGTGAGATTTCTTAGATGTGGTTTTGATTTGCCTCTCTGTGGTGATGTACTTTCTGTTTCTGAGAAGTCATGCAGGGGAATTGTTTCCAGACCCCATCCCCTACCAGATGATATGTAGATTTTCTTTTGATACACATTCATTTTCTACTTGAAAAATACTTTGTATGGCAAAGGCAGAGCTTTTTTACAGCACAGGCTGATTTCAATTTTCAAAGTCAAACACATTTGTATTTCATGTAACAAAGGATAATACGGCCACTGAGCAGCCGAGCTCTCATATCTTTAATAGATATGTACCTTCAAATCACCTTTTCCTGAGTGGTAATTTGGCTGGTACACTAGACGGCTGCTACAGAATGTCTGATAACGTTCTCAGCGAGCATTAGTTTGATGCATGAGTCAGAAAACTGATTGGTTACAGCAGAGGTATCATTTAGCTGAATGTTTCTGCGACACCTCTATTAAATGCTGTGGCTCTAAGCATACACCGTAGGGCTAGTTTTTGAATTAACAGACACGGTAATCCCATCAACATTCATAATGGTAATGTAAGACAAAGACACTTGTCATGAGAATAAATGAACAGCTCACGCAGCGTGCTATATGCAACTTGCTGAAAGAGGAATGAAGGAGAAAATGAGGCAGTAAACTGCAGAAATAATTGGCATGTAAAGGAAGTCTGAGTAGCTAAAGAAGACAGATTAATGAGTGGATGTAGAACTTACATTTTTCACTTTAACTACAGGACCTATCCCTCTGAACACCTTTTGGATGGACTCAGCAGAGAAAGGAGCATCTGCCCATCAACCTTGATCAGATGCAGTGGGTGTCAATGTGTACGAGCTCAGCAGGATGCTACATGTCCCCTGCTGAGTCACTGTCATGAAGCAGCTGCTATGAGGGACGAAGGTGCACAGTACTGAACAGAAGTTTCTTTTGTTTTGGGCACTGACAGTATTGCTCAACTGTGTTCCCAAGGCTTACTGCACTTCTGCCGCTCATCGT